GGGGCCTGACATGAGGATCCACTTGTTGATTTCTTCGCTGAGTCCTTTCCCGAAGAACACCATGGCAGTAGTATCACGGGTAGATATCCCAGCTTTGTTGAGGCAGTTATGGAAGTCTGCGATGTACTTGTCGAGGGAATGGTTTCCTTGTCAAATGGCGGACAAGTAGATTAGTGCAGTAGCTTTGGCATCTCCCACTTGGAAAGTTTCTTTTAACTTGGCGATGAACTCATCCCATCCATCAAAGATCTTGAGATCTCCAAGAGTGGTTGTGTTTTCATTGATGTAGGCCTCAGTGAAGGTGCAGGCTGATCCACTTCCCATGTAGGAAAGGGTAAACGTGATCTTGGACTGGTCTTCATAGTAGATGTGATTGTTAGTGGCAAGATAGAGTTTGATGCTGCTCAACCAGGCAGAGAAATCCTGGTGTGCCCCATTGTAAGAGAAGGGTTTGTTCAGGCCAATTTCTTTCAATCCCCCTCCCCTAGAGTCATGTTCCTTTCCTTTCACCTCAGAACCTCAGGAGGGGCCCTTAGGCCTTACCACATCTCTGTTAAAGAGCAACTTGTAGAATTTGGCAGCCATTTTGGGGGTTACCCTACTCTGTCCAGTGAAGGGATCCTGGAGATTTAATCCAGAGGTTTGGTGGGCGAGTTCTTCTGCCATCTGGTCAGCTGAAGTAGTAGGAAGGTAAACATCGGTAGACAAAGACAAAGTAGAGGGGTCTGCTGGTCCAGCTGTCCCTTGGGTTTCGGTATCCAGGCTTAGGGGCCTCAGTTTGCGATAGGAAGTAAAATTTACTGGTGAGGTCAATTCTGCCACTTGCCCAAGTTGGGGCCTTACCAGCGGGTCTTCAAGACCTATACGTGGGCTTGGAGTTTGCACTGAAGGGTGACAAATAAGTGGCCTCACTTGGAGGACTTCTTTTCCTTTGCAAGAAGGTATGGGAGGTCTGAACGAAGAGGCTGCTGATGGAGGCCTCTTACTTCCTTCTTCTTGGCGGTTTGAAGACATGTTGACAAAGCAGAAGGTTAGTGCCAAAGGTTAGGGGCTAGCTCACTGATATTAAACCAGTGGTTCCTGTTGAAGTGGCAGGAGGTGGTCGTTTTGCAGGCTATTTTGCCTAGCAAGGATTCCAGACCACAGGTATCCAAAGGTGATCCAGGCTTTGATGTGTCTGGGTGATTCAAAATCTTCTGTTATGCTGACGACTTGTATTGCATCATGAATCGAGTGTGATGAAGCACAAGCACGTGACTGCACAAGAAGTGACATGTAATTTAACTTCACTAGCAACGGGACACTAGTCTTGGCCAACCGAAGTTGTACTGGCCAGTTCTTGTTGATACAATGTGCAGAGCTAAGGGTGGTTGCAAAGTAGATTTTGAATGAGGGACTGGTATGGTACATGCAGGTTTATATACGTATGTAGAGTACCATATGTCAAACATTCGAACACAGTGTTTAACCGCTCACCAGTTCCTAAAGCACAGGGTGCAAGGGCAACCCTGCTGTGGGCAGAAAGGAATGGGGTTAAACGAGGGTTTAAACATGTAAGGGAGAAAGGGATTGGCTGCACAAGAGTCATAAGTGGAGCATTCACCTGGGGTGAACATGATCACGTAACCACATGGATCAGGGCCACCAGTGGATCACGGAAGGAAGGGGAATGAGTGTAATGCCTGGTTATAGTACAATGCAGGGTAGACAGGGGTCTACCACAAAAGGGAACAGGGAAGGGAAAATGTATGGAATGCAAGTCCAACCATGTAGATGGCAGCTTGTGGGCAAAGGGAATGTCCCAAAGGATGAGACGAAGCATGAACAGGTTATGTAAACATCTGCAAGAGGAAATAATGTGAGCACAGCATAACACCTATTGTATCATGAAGAAGGTTGCAATATATGGATGGGCCTGCCCATCATATGCTTTATAGGGTCACAACATAAAGAGGGGCCCATCTATTATAGATTACAGAGTTGGAAACATATGGAAGGGCCTGTCTTTGGGATAATATACCCCTGTCACAACATATAGATGGGCCTGTCCATAGCAACATGTATGCCTGTTGCAACATAAGAATGGTGTCACACACCAAAGGTGTTTGGTGAGGTGGACATGGATGTAGCTGATGAATGGAGGTGAAGACCATAGCCCTCATGCGAAGAAGGACAGCCAGCAATGTTGGCAGTCATCCCTCACACAAGAACAAGTTGTCAATGCCAAAGAAAAAGGAGGAGGCAAGTTAAGTGCCAATAAAATTCTTAAGTGCCCATGTATGGCATTCCAGTTTTCGATGTATCTCCACCAATTCTGCAGACATCGAAACCATTCCCACACTCGCTTGTAGTGCTCAGCCACGTGATCCTACCTTCCAAGATTGGAAAGGATTTGCACACTCCACATGTTTCTACAGCACTCCCTCCAAAAGACACTCATTTTGCTAATTCTTCTGATATGGCTGCCTCCACATCAGTCATTTCGCTTGTCCCCTTTGCTAGGGACCATGGCTACATATATCTACCAGGAGTTCCTACCAGCTTCTGTCCTGAAGCGTCCTGGTACATCCCACCCTCATCTGCCCCCTCTCAGCCCATCCAGCTTGGACAGCATGTTCTTTTTGTCAGTATGACCTCCAGGAGGATGTTCTTTGGTCGCCTCAGGTCTGTCATTTACTTGGAAAGGTCTTATGTGGTTGTTTCAGTCTCTCCAGTCCAAGAAGCATATGGATCCTTCCTCCCTGCCCCCTGCAATGTCTTCATACCAGTCTTGTCCATCATTCTTCCAAAATTGCAACAGCTACAGTATAATCTACTGTTCTCCACTCTCCCTGATCACATCCATGACGAGTATGATGCACATCTTGCCTCCTTGTTGCAAGATACAGCAGAAGATGCTCCCCCTTCATCCTCTCTTCCAACAGAGCCTCATTCATGAAGTTTTTATTTGCTTCACTGAGAGGATGGTTTGGGGGGGAAAGTTGCAATCCCCTATGCTCCTGTCACCCCACAGACCCCCAAAGCTTGACACCTGTTGACATCTGACTCACCCTGTCTGCTTTTGGATGTACTATATTGGCATCAGATCAGTGCTGCCTCTCTGTCATCCCACTTTGGCCTAGAAGTGATCTCTTTGAGATGTGACATGCACGGCCTCCCCCTAATGTGATTCCAGTGCACTTTCCCAGTTCCTGACATTGCTTGACTCATACTGTGACATTCTGACTGTCTTTGACTCACCTATTGCCAATACTTACCAATCTTTTGACTTTGCTTACTGATTCTTCGCTTTTTGGCTTACTTATCCTTACCAATGCTTACCAATGCTTTCCAAGGCAATTACTCATCACTTACATTCCTTACTCATCAGTTACCAATCACTTACCAAGTGTTTGCACCTTGTTTTCCATAGGCAATGCCCCTGTACTGTATATAAGTCACTGTACTTAGGTAGCAAAAAAAAAAAAAGAAGACATCAGAGAGCCCCTCTTGCTTGCAATTTATCATCTCTCAGTAAATCATTCATCAGCTTTGATAGTTGAGACTTTATTAAGGGTCTAGCTATCATCTACTTTGCTTATCATCATCTATCATCCATATACTTTGCTCCAAGCCCTCCCTGAGCTCGGTACAGCTTAGGACATCGAATTAAGTCACCATCCATCCTTCTGTAGGCTGACAGCAGTCTACCCTATCGCTTTCTATCACATTCTTGCTCCCTCTTCATCAGGAGCACCCCCAACCCTCAGCACTCATCTTTGAGTGTTGTAGCTCGCAAAAACCCTCCCAAAGAACAGGTTCTACCATCTAGGTACCACATAGGCACACCACCACTCACTTTCATTGTCTTTTGTGTTGGTTTTGGTTGGTTTTCACCACTGAACCTCACTTTGACTCACACCACAGTCCCAGGCCCACACAACCATGACTCGCATTACTGGGTTGGATGATGAGGAGCTAGACTGCCTGCTTGAGGAAGCTGAGGATGACCTCACTGATGATGATGTGGAGGCTTTTTCTGCAAACAGCTGACTATCTGTCCCTTCCAGTATCCACAGTTTGTCCATTGCGCTATTCCCCTGTACCCTCTTCTCCCACGATACCCATACCTCTTTCCATGGCCTCACCCACCTCCCTGCAGCTTCTTCTACTACACTCGTTCCTTCTCCCATGCTGACTGGGGACAGTCAGCGTTCAAAGTCCCCCACAGGGGTGACCAGCATACCACTTGATCCACCCAATATCAGACATAGTTCATTTCCTTTTATCTGTTTTACCCCAGGTTTCGTCTGGAGACCTCTATTCCACCCTGGGATTCGTCTGGTGATTCTACTGATAGCTAGTCCCCGCTCAAAAAACATAAAAACCGCTTACAAAAAGTCCAAAACCATCCAGAAAAATAACAAAACACTGAATAAGTATATAGCCAAAACAACGTCTCTCCTATCTCTCTTACTAGTCTTGCTGATACCGTCTTTGGCCACTCTATACCACATATACTTGCAACCACCCTGTGCATTTCCTCTTTGATCGTGCAGTCAGTGTGCGCCCCTTGATTTATTTTTCTTTCAATTCTCCTTCTGTCTCCTTACAATTGATACACAAAGACCATCCCAGCTACCCAATAAACAGTCCCTTTGCTTCCTCTTCAAGAATCCATCACATCCTACCATCAAGATTGTTTCATGAGGACATACCACTGAGAGAAGTCAAAAGTCGCATGAAGAAGACAAGTCGGGTGGTACCCTGCACACCATATCTCACCACGGCTGCACTTCCCTGCGGCTCATCTTCAAGTATGTCCAGTCATTTGCAACTTCACACAGAAGCAAGCAAAGCGGTATATTTAGCACAGTATGCACTGACATGCAGATGGGATGGTACAATAAATCTGAACTAACTATAAACGTTCTTATTCCACCCCAATCTTCTCCAGAGCTTTGGCGAGTTGATCGACGCGCACCTGCAGGCAAAGGTATGTGGCCTGCGAATCCATGGCCTCAGCACGAAGCAGCCTCAGCGACTGCGACCTTGGCATCGAGCTGGCTACACACTGGTGCTTTCCCCTTCGCACGCATGTGGCTTTCGACCACCTTGACTTCGTCATCATCGTCATCATCGTCTACAACTCTCTTGGACAAGCTTGCCTTTGCAGTCTTCGAGGCCTGTGCTGCTAGCTGTTAACTTCACACCTCCCAAGGTGGGGTCGTTACTTACTGACCGATGTGCCTGCCTGCGCCTTCTTTCCCATGGCCTTCATCAACTTCTCACACCCCTGCTTCATTCGCGTACAGCCGTCGCACGTCTGCCCAATGGGTCTGATGCAGGCTGTCTTCTTCACCATGCACCATGTGCATGGGACCTTGTGGAGGATCGAGCCAGGAGGAACGATGATCTTGGGCTCATCCTCATCTTTGCTCTCTGCGACAGTCTGCTGCGATTGCTTTGGACTCCAGTGTCAATTGTTACCACAACCTTCCATCCATGCACTTACCTTCCACACCAGATGGGACACCACCTCTACATGCGACATCTTCTCTGTCGCTGCAGGCACTGCGACACTTGCACCCAGCCCTCTGGTCTCCTGCGCATTCTCATCCCCCATCTGGACGTCCTGCTCGGCCCTTGCACACACTTCGGCCTCCTCCACCATCCACTGCTCATAGACATCGTCCACTTCAGCCAGTATAGGCACTTCTGCTGCGTCCACCCTTACCATGACACCGAGCTCCTTCCCACGCTCGACCAATGGCATAAGCATAGCCTAGAAACGAATGTGATCAGCCTCCATGCTACCGTACTGCTGATGCACATTCATCTCACCATCTTCTCCTCCCAGCGTCACAGCCACATTGTCTTCTCCTCTTGCATTCCTTTGCGATCCTCAGGGAAACACCTTGCTTCAGCCACGAGGATAGCCAATGTGGCTGCAATTTGCTGTCGCAGGTCAGCCTTCTCTGCTTCGACCGGGTCAGGGGTGGCTGCGCATATGAGTTGGGAGAGACGAGGGGCATGGTTAGCTGACATGGTTAGAGTGATGGGGGGATTGATGATAAAGGGGGAAAGAATCAAATCAATGCGAAGGTTTGAGCTGCGCACTAACAATTATATACTTAGCGGCCATGAGGCACTTATGTCATCAGTCTGGATGCCTATATGCAGCATTCAATGGTGTTCTCGTGTCCCTCGGCTCTATGCTTCCTTCGCTTCTATGCGGAACTCGCCGGTGTTCTTGAACCCTCGGTACCACACTGTTACCATCACCACATGGCAAGCTATTTATGTCCTCCGCACCACGTGGCTGACTGGGGATGGTCAGCATCTAAGTCCCCCACAGGTGTGAGGAATCCGCATTCCCTGGACATGTAAGCCCCTATCATTAACCGTTCCATGACTACTGTTACATCCGCTCCCCTCTCACATTCACCATTGTTCACATGCTACCTTCCCACGCCCTCGCTTCCTCTCGCACAATGCTATACCCACAGCCACTGTGCTCCAGTTGTTGTTTTTCCTCGGACTCCTTCTCTTATCACAGTCTCTATTCCTTTAGTGCTTGTAGTATACCCTTGGCCTCTGTTTTGGCCCGTCTTCTGTGTATGCACTGTTGCGCGGCTTTCCCTTACTGTACCCTGTCTTACTTAGGTTCTGGGTTTGTCTGGACTATAAAGCCCTGTACTTAGGTACAGAATGATACCTTTTGGCACTTGGAAGGTCACCATGAGTTTCCTTTACACTTTGTCTATACTGCATGTCTCATATTCCGCCACGCACAACCTACGTATACCGCTCACACCGCTTGCATCGCCAGTACTATTCCATGGACCACACCACACACATCACGAACCACTACCGCTACAAAGCACCAGGTCTCACCTTCTAGTCTTGACAGTCCAGAATCCCTTGGGACGAGCAATTTGTTCCCTTCATTTTTTTATTGTTGTTATCTAAGCCATCTAGCTCATATTATACAGCTACTTGGACTTTTCCTACACCATACCCAATCACACACCAACCTCTTTAAAGAGCTCTCCTGAGTCGACATACCCTAGTTCCACTGCATGCCACTGCTTCTCCTTTTCCTGATCTGAGATGTCTTCTTTTAATTTCGAAGCCAATGGTTCCTCTTGCTTCAGTCTGATGTGGTCAAGAAGGCAAGAAGCGGGGGGTGCCAAGAACTCTCCTATCTGTTGATGACATAAATGGTGATATGCTCCACTGGTAATGGCCTCGGTAAGATCTGAGGAAGCCTTCTCCAGCATGTCGATCATGATTACCTCTGACAGTGGTGCAGTGCCACTCAGCTTCCTAGTATGAATTCTGGACACCAGTCCATTGATCATGTCTGACGTTCTGTAGATTTGAGACAGCAACCCAAAATACTCAACCTGTTCTGGTGAGCACCTGTCAATGTTGTCCCTGTTGTGGAAGACGTCAAGTGCCCTAACAATGTCCAGGTAGTCACTTGCTGAGACTGGTAATCATTGCTGGTCAAGCCAGGCAGTGGCTGCTGTCACGAGGAGGTCGAGGGCTGCATGTTGAGCACTGTCAGAGTAGGTGGTGAAGGTGGAGCATAGGTTGGTAGGTTCGGCAGCATTGGTGCTACTGGAGGGGGCTGTTGGACTATCGGGGTCATCGTCAGTCTGCACCCTACCCTTTCCCTTGTGGTTACTGTCCCCACTGAGGGGGACTCTGGCCTTGGGGACCAGAGCACGTCTGACCGTGAACCCTGGGAGTGGATGTGGTCCACAAGTCCTGGGGAGAAGGGGTGATAACGGACAGGATTGAGAGATGGGCAAGGAGAACCTGGAGACATGAAAGCCAGTGGGGGATGTTGGAGGTGAGGTTGGGGCATAGACAACGACTGGGGGTATGAGCCCATCATTGTAGGAGTCATGAACAGATTCTGAGGTGAGGGGGAGGTCGGCATAATCGTTTTCTGTATTGATGGAGCAAGGGGAGTCCATTTAATTCTTAAGATGGCAGGTGAGCTTGTACTGGTTGAGTGCTTCGGACGCATGGTCTTTTATGTGTTCTTCGGGTTCCCATGTATTTGACAAATGGGGGAACCCTTTCCACTTGACCAAGTACTGCCACTTACCTCTGCGGCCATCAACCTTGTGATTGATTATCGACTTGACCTCCCACTCTATTTCATCATCCACTAATTCCAGTAAGGGAGCTGTGGGCGCAGCTCCATATGTGTCATTTTCGGTAAATGGGAAGATCCGGGAGGCATGAAACACAGGGTGTACCTTCCATGTTGATGGAAGGTCCAATCAAAAGGCAACTGGTGACATGACCTGAGTCACTTTGAATGGTCCGAGATGTCAGGGCGCAATCTTGTCACACTGGTTCTTGATATGAAGGTGCCCAGTATCCAGGAGCACCTGATCTCTGACCTTGGGCACAACATAAGACCCTTTTGAGCGCAAACACATCAGGTCCTGTGCCTTTTTGTGTGCAAGGATTGCAACATCTTGATTTGATGCCAATTGTTCTAGTCTTTTGTCTACCAAGGGCACCACGGTGAGTCAGACCTCTGGGTAGGGGGAAGGGTCATAGCCAAGCATCAGTGAAAAAGGTGTCATTTGATGAACCAAATGTATCTGGGAGTTATGAGTGAACTTGGTGGAGGGAAGTTTGGTTGCCCACAAGTTAGGGGCTTCCACACAGTACAGGTGCAAGTACCCTTTGACCTCTTGATTTACACGTTCGCTTTCTCCATTGGTTTGCAGATGATATCCAGTAGAAAGTTTGGTCTTGACCCCTATTGCTTTGTAGAGCTCCTTCGTGAAGGAGGAAGCAAACTGAGGTCTGCAATCTGAGATCACCGATTCAGGTACCCTGAACCAGGAATAGATATATTGATGAAAGAGTTGGGCAATCCTGATGGAGTCTATAGTTTTGTGACATGGAACAAACAGGGCAGCCTTAGTAAGGCCCTGATCAACAACCGTGAGAATGGAGTCATATTTTTGTTCTCCTGAGATGGGGAGATCCATGATGAGATCCATAGATATTTGTTGGAATGGGAATGTGGCCTTGGGAGTCTTGTGCAGAATGACCAGTGGAGTCAGAGGATGTGTCATGACCTTTGTTGTCTGGCACACTGGGCATCCTGCAACATAAGCTTTGATGTCTTTTCCCATACCTTCCCACCAGACTTCCTTTCTCATTTTAGTGAACATTGCTTTTTGTCTGGGGTGGCCAGAGGACTTGTGGTTGTGATATGTTCACATACAATGTTGTTGGTGTTCAGGGGGAATATAGAGGTGCATAGTACTGAACCATTTTGTTCCATCTTCAGCCATGGTGATGTTTTCCCTTGGTTCTGGACCTGTAGAATCCTTTGATGTATCGTTCTTGATGTGTTCATACAGGTCAGCCGATATCGCATATACTCCTCTAGCTCCTTTGACGAATTCCTCAGATGGGCGAGCTTTGGGAAACTGTTTCCCCTTTGATTGTTCCTCAGACAGGCGGGAATATGGTTTGGAGTTTGTTTTTGAACACAATAATTGTGCCAGAAGATGTCCTATGCAGCATAGTCGGTTGATTTTTAGTTGTTTTTGTAGTTTCATAATTGAAAAGGAAGGTGAAATGAGGCAAATTTGGGAACCCACCCCCTCCAAAAGCCAGAGGTCCAGGGGAAGGACCATGGCCACTGGGGCAGGCTCTGTGGCTTCGCTTTTCCGTGAGAGTGTGTTGGTGGGGACCTGGAGGTGACTGGCCTGCCAGGAGAGATGAATGGGGTACAACTGGACTGTGGCAGCCCAGTGAGCTTGATGCAGAGTGAGCTGTTGAGGCTCATGATAGTATTCAAGATTCTTGTGGTCAGTAAAGACCACAGTCAGTTTGATGGGGGATAAGAGATATGGACGGAATGCCTTTAAGGCACAAATAACCACAAGCATTTCCAGATCATAGACCTGGTAGTGCTGCTCAGCACCAACAAGGGATTGTGAAAGGTAAGAACAGGGGTGCCATTCATTGTCGGCTCCTTTCTGGGCAAGAACTGCACCAGTCCCAAGTTTGGAAGCATCTGTAAAGAGCATGAACAGCTTCGAGAAGTCTGGGATGGTGAGGACTGGAGCAGAGCATAACAAGGATTCAAGCTTTTCGAATGCAGCATCACGTTCAGAAGTCCATTGGTAGGGCACCCCCTTCTTAGTAAGATTGTGTAGAGGATGGGCAACACTTGAAAAGGAAGGGATAAATTTGCAGTAGAAATTGCAGAAGCTGAGGAAATGACGGAGTCCCATAAGATTGTCAGGGGCCTCCCAAGTACTGATGGCATTGGTCTTCATTGGCAAAGTCTCCATATGCCCTTTTCCTATAATCATTCTGAGGAACTCAATTTCTTCAGCCTCAAAGACACACTTGCTGATCTTGAGGTGTAATCCATCTTTTTTGCAGATCTTCAGGAACTCATGAATGCAATCCTGAAGTTCTTCTTTTGTCTTGGCATGGATCGCGATGTCATCCATGTATCCTACTTGCTTTCCTCGTTGAGATTCGAAGGTCTGGTCCATATACCTTTGGAAAGAAGGAGGTGAGTTACACTGTCCAAAGAACATTACCATGGGTTTGAACAGTCCCCAGGGCATGATGAATGCCCCTTTCCACTCATCTCCTTCTTTGACCCTGAGGTTAGTAAATCCCCAATGAATGTCAAACTTGGCATAGTATCGAGATTCGACCAGTTCGTCAAACAGGGCCTGGGCATTTGGCAATGGGTGCACATCCAGGGTGGTGAACAAATTGAGGTAGCGGTAATCTTGGATAAGCCGCTTCTTTCTGTCCTTCTTTGCTACAAAGAACACCAGTGCCACTTGAGGCAAGGTCGATGGTCGAATCTTTTTGCATTGCAAGTTTTCTTCCAAGAACCTGTCTAATACCTTTAGTTCATCAGGAGACATAGGATATACTGCTGCTTTCTTTGGCTTGAAGTTGTCATGCAACCAGATTTTGTGGTCCAATCTGGGTCGATGTGCAGGCAGCAGGATATCTTTCTCTGAGAACACCTTCACAAACTCCTTGTATTCTTCTGGAAGTTTTACTTCCTCCTTGTTCGCAGCTAAGGCAGCCTTGAGTTCTGTGGAAAGAGTTGTTTTGTTAACCTCCATGGGCTGGAGTCCTGCAGATTCTTTTTCTAATCCTCCTTTCAGAGGTTCGATTACCTGTCCCTCGTACCAAGGGACCACCTGTTTTATGTAAGATTCGGATTCAGAAGCTGGAACATACCCATCATCCCAGCATGATATACATCTGGTTTCCCAATTCATCCGTGGTTTGAATTCTTTCAGGAAGGGCATCCCAAGGAGGATGTGTTCCTTCCCAACCAAGGGTCTGACATAACATTTGACCCATAACACCCGGTTCTTGATGATCATTTTCAAGGTCACCTTTCGAGTGACCCATTCTACATCCTTTCCAGTAAACAAGGTCGTTTTGAACTTGCTCTTGATGCAGTATGTTGTGATTCCGAGCTTCTGGACAATTCGTTCTGATATCAGGGAGACTTCGGCTCCTGAATCGATACAGGCTATTACTCCTGCACTGTAGTCCAGCAAATATACTCTTCCAATCAGTGAACAGGATCACATGGATGATTTGTCATCTATAGAGGTACATTTAGCAGACAACATGGCTACAGGACTGACTGGGGCAGGAGACTTGTCAATCCTTTCTAAAAATCCTTCAGCCCAAACTGCTTCCTTTCTTCTGCTGTTGCTTCACAATCACCAATATAGGCAACCCTACTCCCATCCTCCTTAAGGACTATGTGGATCTGGGGAAGCATATTGCCTTTGGATTTGCAGTCACACTTGTAGTGACCTTTGGCTCCACAGTTGAAGCACTTAATTTCCGAACCGGAGCGTCTAACATTCCATTTGCATTTGTCAATGTCCATCGCATCAGGATCTCAGGAACCTCCGCAGTAATGAATGAACTTTCTTTCATACCGAGATTCCTTCCCTTCTAGGATATGCTTCGTCGCAATTGTGGTTCTTGCTTCTCCTGCACACTGTATCCACTCGATGACCATGGAAGGTGTGTGCCCTGAGTTAAGAACCCATTCATGATATTCCTTGTTTAATCCTTTTCCAAAGAAGATCCCTGCTTCATGCGATTCTTCCTTGAGTTGTGCCTTGTTGACAAGCCCCATAAACTCAGCAATATATGCTTCAAGTTCTTGTTTGCCCTGCAAGATGTCGGAAAGGTGGAGTATTGCCAGGGTGGTTTGATCCCCAGATTCAAATGTAGCTTTGAGACGCTTGATGAACCTTTGGAAGGTATCAGTGTAGTAAATTGTTCCATTGAGAAGCTTGTTTTCATTCTGGTAGTTTTCTGCAAAGGAAACTGCCACACCTTTAGTCATGTACATGAGGGTGAATGAAATCTTGAGGGATTCCATGTTATACACATGCTTGTTCAGGTTCAAATATCCTTCAACCTGTGTAACCCAGGTCTGAAGCCCATTGTGGCTTCCATCGTATTCTCCAGGACATCTGACATTAAACTCCCTACCTCTGTTGGGTGGGCGGCAATCATGTGCATCGTCAGGATTGGCTGGGGCCTTACCCTTACTGAACCCACTAACAGGATTCTCTGGGGGAATTACCTTTCCGAAGTTCCTGGCATACCATTCACATAATGCCAAGTCACTAGGCATCCCTGTTGGAAATGGGTCGCTATTTCGGGCATGCATTGCTTTGTGAAGTTCTTCTGCCATAGTGAGTCTTTGTTCTTCCAACCTTTGTCTCAGCTCCTCTTTGGAGATGGTCCTTGAAGGCATCTCAGGAGCAGATTCTCCGTGACTGATTGTCATGGACATATCAGGTAACTTGCATGCTTCTTGTTCTTCTATGAGGACTGATCCAAGTGAAGTATTAGACTTCTGATCGTCTTCTTCTTCTGAACTAAGCACAACTTCCGAATCCCTAAACCAGGATAGATAAGATAAGCAGGGGTTAGAGGCAGTGATTGAGGGTCCTAGTCTTCCAAGCAGAATGGGCAGTAGCAGGGGATTCCTGCTGAGCCCAAGAGGATTTGGATGAGGAGGGACTGGGGGTCTCGATTTCTGAGGATTAGACACTTTAATGGGAAGTGGAAATGAGGGCTGAGGGAGGATTTATTTCTCGAAAGAAACCTGTCAGTGTAGGGATGTATTGAGGGTGTGCGAGTGGCTTTATGTGTAGGGAGACATGAGCGCAGGCTCCAGGGAGGCAATCTATTAAAGCCTAGCGGCTGCCTGTAGAGCAGTGAATCTGGTTGAGGGTAGAAGGGTGCTTCTCAATCTTGTTACTGATTTGGTAGCCAAGTTGAGTAGCAAGGGAAGAAGGCAAGTTAGTCTTTACACTGAGGGAGACCAACAAGCCTTGTGCTTGAGTGGTAAGTGGTTTGTTGAAGTTCAGTAACCAGGGATGAGTAGACTTTCGTGAAGAGGTCGACGAGTCCTGAAAGCTGCACAGAGTTTTTCAATTTTGTTATGCCTGAGCACGGTGACTTCTTCAAATGAAATAGGCATGAAGTGCGTGAGGTGGGAGTCTATGGGCCAAACTTGTTGTAACCCCTATGGCTGAGTTATCATCTTGATCCAACAGAGGTTCTGTCTACTGGTGAGTCCCTAAGGTTGTTTGCGCAGAGAGAGAACAAGGATAAAGATGAAGGGATGAAGCTCAGTTGCAAGCTATTGAAAAACTGCAGATACAGGATGGAGTATGTAGGTTTATATGCCCCTAAGTACGAGTACTGTAACAGTTGCAACAGATGCATCATGACATGTATCTGCAGTAACCAACAAAATGATCAGTCAAATAAATAGGAGTCAGATGATGTCAAAGATGGGGGTAGGGAGGCAATGAAGGCTATACTGGCTGGCACAATCAATGCGCAGTGAGGAGCCAGACACTGGAGCTATAGTACAAGATATGAGCAATATAGATGAGTCAGAGATGAGTCATAAAGTGGGAAACATAACAAGTTGTCCATCAGAGAGGGTGGTGGAATACTGGATCACAGTGGCAATGCAGTCTCTACAGGTATTGGAAATACCTTGACAGTGGGAGATCCGAATGTTCCCTGGAGCATTCGAGCCCCTAGGATGGCAACAACTATTAGGGATGCGACGAGGCACATGATGCATGTGACCGAGAGAAGTCAAAAAAGGAAAGACCCCTGATGGAAGCATAACATGCTGTAGAAATGTGTGGAGTGTGCAAATCCTTTCCAATTTTGGAAGGTAAGATCGTGTGGCTGAGCACTACAAGCAAGTGTGGGAATGGTCTCTGTATCTGCAGAAATGGTGGAGATATGTCAAAAACTGGAATGCTGTACACAGGTGCTTAAGAACTTTAGCCAGCACTTAACTCACTCCCTTTCTTTTTCTCTGGCACTGATGACCTGTTCTTGTTTGAGGGATGACTGCCAACATCTCTGGCTGTCCTTCTTTGCATGAGGGCTATGGTCTTCATCTCCATTCATCAGCTGTATCCATGTCCACCTCACCAAACACCTTTGGTGTGTGACAGCAAATGACTCAGATAGTGACTCCAAAAGATGGGTGCTCTATTTCCAACATCCTGGTGGAATTATATAGTACAAGGGAAGTAGGTACAAGTCAGAGTAAGGTGGGGTGGAAAAACTAAAAGACTGGAAAATAAAGGAATGGACATCAGACATCAGTGAAATACAGATGCATGTGAAATAGTCCAGTGGGTAGTAGACAAGAGTAAGAATGGGACAATGGTAAGGGGTATCTTCTGACAGAACAAGAGTATGTGTACCAGTGGGAGGTGGAGCTGAGTGGCACAGGAGGGCAGAGTGTAGCATACTGGCATGAAGTCCAGCTTGTGGAATTTAGGGTGACAGGGGAAACCAGAGTTTTTTTTAGAGGTAAGTGGCACAGATGACTGGTGATGTGGCTGAGCAGTGGCATGGCTGTTGAATTCCAGGTGACTCTGCACCAATGTAGAATTTCTGGATCAGTATTTTGATGACTGAGTGACATGCTGAAGGTTGGTAGAAGCTCTGAAGGTGACAGGGGTTGGGAGGAAACATGAGGACACAAGCAGGAAAAATTCTGAAATGGGTTTGTCATAGAGGCCTGCAAAATTTAGTGACAGATTCCTGTTCCAGCCTCAGGGAGTATATGGCTCCCTACACCTCCCAGGAACTTTGAATGCTGACTGTCCTTGGTCAGACCAAACTGAGACATGACAGAGATGAGCACGGAATATTGGCAGACATTATGTAACAATGATGGCACATGGTCAGAATTCTGCCTCATGCAGAGGGAAATTCTGCAGTGTATGAGATGGCCCTGCAGAATTTAAATGTGCTCAGAAGGTGTCTCACTGCTCATCAAACATCAATGCCCCAGCTACACCCGCATCCACTACCCAATCCATACCCAACCTTTGCCATGCAAGCCTACTTGATCCATGACACATGACTGGTTTGCAGCATGAGGGACCAGGCCATCACCTTGCTGGTGGCAGCATTAAGGCATGTTAGGGTGCTAATCAACACAGCACCACAGCCCGAAGAGAGCTTAGAGGCGATATACAAGTGGGTGGAGGACTGGGACCAGACCTGGGTGAGTGCACTAGAGACCTGTGCAACACAATGGACTAACCAATCCCCATCTGGGATCTACTTGTGGTGGAAGTATGTTGATGAGAACAAGATTTCTATCCCAAAGGTGCATGATGCCAACCTACATGACATGACTGAGGAATCTGTGATATGGCAGAATGAGGTGATCCCTGGGGTGATAGCAATAGTGGATCTCTGGTGGCCAGAAGGGTAGCATAGGTTCAACATCGATGGCCTTTTCGAGGGCTACCAGGAGTGGGTAGAGGAGAGAGCATGAATGGAGGCTGAGAGGTTGGCCAAGGCACCATCCATGTGCACCCAGGGCCAAGCAGCAAGAGGTGAGGGCCAAGACCATGCACCAGAAGACACTGAAGGAAACCCATCAAGAGGAGCTGCATGCTCAACAGGGGAGGGCTCTGGTAGTGCAAGCAAGGGAAAAGGGAAGCAGAAGGTGCACCCTATGACCTTGACAACTCCAAGCACACATGCTGACTTCAATGAAAATTCTGCAGGCTACCAGCAAGGAGGATGAGCTGGCTGACGATGTTGACAATGATGAGGGTGATGGTGAACCAGGTCCACCTGCAAAGGGACCTTGTGCAGCTGGGGACGATGAGCCCTGTGAGACATGTGCCCAGGCAAACCTTGCATGCATCAGGGAGCCAGAGGCATCCTGCAAATGGTGCAGGAAGGCGAAATGCAAGTGCTTGCACTCTCGAAGTGTAGGGAGAAAGGTGAGTACTGCACAGGTGAAATTCCACAAGGGAACAATCTGATGCCACCTTCAGCAAAAGAACTCCAGTACTGTTGGGGAGGCAGGGCCATCCCACAAACAAGTCAAATCATTTACAACCTCAAAGCTGGCCCCAGCAGAATCTGCAACCGAACCTGTCAAGAAGCTTACTCTGAAAATTCCAGCTTGAAAATGGCAGCCTGATCTGACCCCCACATGCTTGCCTTCGCCAGATCCAGCTCCTTCACTTCATGATCCTTTGCCAACACCCTGTCTCTTTTTCTGTGGAGCCACTCCAATGCCTGGACCTGCACCCAAGCCCTCACCAGTCCAGTCGACAATCCTCATGTGTCACTTTCTGATCGATGAACTGCAAGTCGAGATTGAACCATTCTTTGCAACTGTGACCAGTTTACTGGACAAACCTGGAGACATTGAAGTGACAGCCCAGAGTGACACTCCATCGGCTGCAGAAATTCTGGAGGTTGAATACCCATGTGAGCAGTCAACAGTGAACATCGTTGAGCATCTGCAAGTGCTTGAGGCGAGGGCTGAGGATGAGGAATTTGAGCTGGAGCAGGTCTACTGGCTGCTGGAGATGTTGGCAAGGCAGGTAACACATCAGATTGAGACTGTGTGGGCTAGACAGGAGGAGCTGTGAAGGTTGAAGGATGATCTCTGGAACCTGTAAATAGTGTACTAGAGTCTGTGGAATTTTTCTTTTTTGACTCTCTCACAAGAGTGGTGTGGAATTTATACAAGAGAAGAAGTGGGTATCAATAAAAGAAAGAACAAGGGAAGAAAAGAAAGGAGGTAGGGAGAAGGATGGGCTACTCATCTGACTCATCCAAAGGGACACCAGCGAGTGTAGGGTCTGGGAATGCATCATCTTCAAGATGATCCAGGTCTTGTGAGGAAGTGCCAGTCAGCTGGGTGACTTCAATACAAGCATTATTCTGCAGGAAATAGGGGTATAGGCGAAACACAGCAAAGCAGAATTTCAAGATAGCACCATCTAATTCCACAAGTATGTATGAGCCACCTTTAGTGCATCTGATGACAATCATAGGCCCTAGGTAGTGTGGTTTGGTTTTCTGGTCAAGTTCCAGTTTGGTATGGGAATTCCACACAAGGACAAGTGACCCTGGTTCAAAGTTAAAGTCTTTGATAGAACATGCAAAATGGTCAATGAAATCCTTGGCTGAGGCAAAGTGGGATTTTAGGACCAGATTGTGGATGCAAGCGAGGTCCTCTGGGCATTTCTGGAGTTGGCAAGCATGGTGAGCAATGAGGTCTGTGGTCAAGTAAAATTCTGCCTCAAAAGGGGCTAAAAATGTCACTTTGACCAGATCAAAAGGGAGTCTGGGTTCAACACTGTGAGCCATATAGAATGGAGAAAACCCGGTTGCCTTGTGGACCATAACCCTCTCTGCCCAAAATACTGCAGGGGCTACTTCTGACCACCTTGACACTTCCCCACTACAACTTTTTACCATTGCCTCTCTTACATCAAAATGCTGCCATTTGACAACTCCATTAGCCTGCAAGTTATAAGGAGAAACACATATGTGATGAATACTGAAGGTCCTGGAGAGCCAGTTGAGAGTGAGAACGTATGGTCCCCCATTATCTGTGACAATCTCCCCAATGGCACCCCAATGGCACAGGATCTGCTCAAAGATGAATTTTCTGATGGTCTTGCTGGTTTCTGCATGAAGCATAGCCCACTCTGGATAACTAGTGAGTGAACAGCAAGCTTGGGTGACATAGTGAAATCCATTTGACTTTGGCATTAAGAATGTGTCCATATATGCTTTAAAGAATAGGGGCTCAGGGATGGCAATGACTGGCAGAATATGTATGTGATCCAAACAGCATATTTGGCACTCATGACACAACTTAATGTACCAGTGGATGTCCTGCTCTAGCATAGGCCACCAGAAACAAGTCGGCAAACACATGCAGGTTGAGTAGATACCCTTGTGTCCTAGCTCATCATGAGCCTGATGAAGGATCCCAAGCCATTTGTGAGGGGTGACTACTAGTTGGTGACGTCCTTGAGGGTCTTTTCTCCACAGCTCTCCTCCTTTGATGAAGTACTGAGTGGTGAGACACACCAGGCTTTCCAACTCCCCTTCCTCCAATCCCTCTGGCATCTTCTTTGTCTCCAAAAATTCCTTCACCACTTTCAATCTCTCCTCTCTCTGGATCGCTTTCTCTGAGTGTGGAATATCCATCTTGTAGACACTTGGCAAGGTTTGTTCAGAGGAATAGATGCCTAGACTCAGTGACAAGACTGAAGGTGAGTCTGACAAGGTACTTGGAATTTCTGAAGGGAAAGGCTGGGACTCGAATTGGGCCTCCCTACAGTTCAAGAGCTCGACAGCGAAGGCTCCATACTCATCTATCCAGTCCTCATAGTCCTCTTCCCCATCCTCATCTTCTTCTGCTTTTGGTCTCCTTGAAAGACTGTCCGGTGCTGCATGCTTGTGTGCAGGGACATGTATGAGCTTGAAGTCAAATAAAAGAATTCCTGCAATCCAGCAGTTGATGGTAGCATTGGGCTGTAAGTTGGGATTGTTAATCATCCCCTTTATATATCATGTGTCAACCTTGACAACTAAATTCTGCACACCAAAAATGTGAAGTCTGACATTGTGTAAAGTGCAGAAAAGACCAAAGAGCTCCAGTTTAGCTTGACTGTAATGGTGTTCATGGTCATTGAGAGTTATTGAGCTGAACCTTGCAGGGTAGTGTTTTTCATCTTCCCCCTCCTGCATGAGGAGGTATCCTACAGCAATATTTGAAGTGTCAACTGCTAGAATGACCTTCCTTTCAGAATTGTAGTCGATAGTATGTAGTGCAGGAGATGAGATGATAGCCTGGCATAGATATTCCATGGCTTCTCTGTGTTCATTGCAGAATTCGAAGGGGATGTCTTTCTTGGTCAGCTCGACAAGGGGGCATGCATGTTTAGTGAATTTTTTGATAAAGATCCTGCAATATGAGCAAAGACCTAAAAATCTGCACACTTAGTAATGTTTGTGCAGTAGGGCCAGTCTTTAATCTTTTGGACTTTAGCTTTGTCTGGAATTCTCCCCTTAAATGACACCTTATGTCCAACCACTATGATAGGCAGTGCAGTGATGATGCATTTCTTCACTGAGACAGTAGCTCCTGCATGACATAGACAGTGTAAGACACAGTTGATGTTCTGTAGGTGCTCCCAGATGAAGTGTCTGATCCCAGCATTTCGTGGGATTGTCTGGTAGGAACCATTGGAATTTTGTTAACAGGATTTTGAACCTTTGATTGGGCAATTGTTGATGAAAGGGATGGTTACTTCAGGGATTTTGTCCTTCAATATCCAACAGATGTCTCCATGGAAAATCTGGACAGCATTTGTGTAGCCCATAGGTAACTTAGTGAGTTGTAGAGTACCAATAGGAGTTTGGAAGGTAGTGAGGTCGCAGTAATCATCATGTATGGTGCGATGATCATATCCAACCATAAGATCCAAAATTCTGTAGACAGAATAGCAAGCGAAGGCTTCAGCAATTGAATCAATGAAGGGGGGAATGGCTGAGTCCTGGATAGAAATGGCATTTAGAGGTTGTAAGTCAGGGATGAGGCACAGAGATTTCCCATCCTTCTTGACTACACAGAACCATTTTGAGTGATAGGACAAGGTAGACAGTTCATAAACTCCTGTGGAAATCTTTTCTTTGATGATGTTAATGACTTCATGGAAAATAGCAGGGGGAATGGGAATATTTTGCTCAACCCAGGGTTTGTGGGCTAGCATAGGTATCTTCAAGGGTGGGAACATGTCCTCTTGAAAGGTCCCTCTTTCTGAAGCATCCCAAGAGAAGGTGGCCTCATGTGTCTTGACCAGCCATCATACTAGGTCTAATTCTGTAGGCCAAAGGAACCTTGCCAGGTCCAGATTGAGCTCATCAGCTCTTTCCTGAGTAAACCTGGAACCTGGCATGAATGGTGGGGGATGAGTAGGTAAAACAGGCAGGTCCACAAGTGGGTCTTTGGCCTCCTGATGCTCTACCCAGAATTCTGCTGGCATCGATGTCAGTACTGGCCTCACCTTCCTTACTACAGGTTTGTACTTTAAGACATGATAAACAGGATCAAGCTGACAAGTAGAGTGTAAGGCAGAGATTGTCAGTGGAGAAACAGTAGTAGCAGTCAAAAATAAGAAAGGGTCAGTCAGAGAGATGGAACTAGCATCAAAGGGATTGACAGGGAGCATACTGTTGCTTTGTAAATCATAGATAAATGCTGTGGCAGAAATTTTGAAAGTGTCTGTAGGCAAAAGGGTAGTAGTCTTCGGAGGTAATAAAGGAGGGTCAGAAATGTAGAGAGAACACACAGAGAAAAGATTATCATGGCCTCCTTGTGATCCAGAAAAGTCATCAACCAACACTAAAAACCCTGCTCAGGCTGTTTCATATGGTGACACATTTGTTTTTGTGTGAAGAAGTCTTCTTTGTCTTTGGAATTTATGAAACATGGAAGGGGATGCAGTCTGTTGCAAGGTCATGTCAGGATTAAAACTTGTTTCCTGGAATCAGGGTCATGGATTTCTAGAGACTGTTCTCCATCAGGGAAATCATGGAGGACACTGGAGAGTAGGCAGAAGAAGGGTTGACCGAGCAGTAAGTCAAAAGGCACACAGTCAACGACTTGGATTTGTAGATGGGCCTTGATGTTTCCTATGTGCAAGGTGGCATTCTCTATGACCCCAAGGGTGCTTTCTTTGGATTGGTTAGTGGCCTCCAGAGTCATAGTCATGTCAGTATGGAGGGGGGCCTCTAAGGCTTCCCACAACTCCCATTGCAAGGCCACTACCTGACATCCACTGTCCAGGATACATTTGATGTGAAGTTTGTCCATTAGGATGCCATCAACAGCACATAATGGTGCAGTAGCAAGGCCTACACACTTCCCTTCTGTGTCTCTGACCCAATACTGTTCATAGGATGCCCAGGTAGCAGAGGCAGAAGCTTCTGATGCTGTTTCTAAGCTCCCAATGGTTATCTTCTTCATTGCAGCTAGTTCTCTAACCTGCTTGCGAATCTCCAGGCTGACAGCTAAGAGATCTTTAGTGGAAATTTCTATCTTTGCATCTAAGACTTGGTCTATGAGTCATTTGGAAGCTGCTGCTTCGTTGAAACCACTTTGATAATGAAATTGGGGTGCAGAATTTGTTGTAGGCTTGGATTTCTGGAGATCTGTGGGACTAGAGACAACTGGAGTTTTAGTAATGGCTGGGATCTCTGTAGAAGGGATGGAATTTGTTGGTGTGGAATTAACGACTGTCCTGGGGGTGGTTGACACATTAGTGGGCACTGGACTTGTCATGGGGTTTTGCAGATGGCAGGCCAGAATATCTACACCATCGAAATGAGCGACCTTCTTCTTCTTGATATTATTTTTCAATTCTTCTACTTGCATGTAAGCTCTCACCAGGGCACACTGGTCTTCTTCATTGGCATTACTCTCTAGTTCTTTTTTGATTAGGTAGGAGGAGGGATGTAAGTCGACCTGAAACTCTGTGGATTCTTCATTAGTGAGTAACATCATGCTGACAAGATGAGGTGGGGTATCATGTCCTTGAGACAAGTTCGATGACTGGCTAGGACATTG